AAAAAAAAAAAAAAAAAAAAAAAAAAAGAAAGTAAAATATGGGGAATCACAGAAATATGAATTTCGTGAATGGTCGATGTAACCGTGGAATAAGTTCAGTGTTATGTTGATGCTTTCCGTTCTTGCCAGGCCTCTGTTCATTACATTCCTATTTTTTTACGTCTTGAAAGATCTTTAGGGGCTGTGGCACACAATACATTCGCTTGCATCTTGATTATCAATGCCAAAAGACAAAAACCAGAGATTCCCAGTTCACTTACATCTGTGGAGAAAAATACAAAAAAAGACACGAAATTAAATGCTGGGATATTCAAAATAATGCTAAAAAATGAAAGCGTTAAAAGTTTACTCCTTGTGCCAAAGAAAAATAGGGCTGTTTGTTTTGTTCTTAATCACTAAGAAACAGAAAGTAAAACGCCTGAAGACATCTGGAGACTAAGACAAACTTGCTCAAGTATTTCCTGTGTTTTTTCTTCAAAGTTTCAAGATAAGCCTGAGTTGTCCAAGCTTTTTCAAGTACCCTTGATGGAAGGACCTTTAGCTTAACAAACAACAATATTTAACTGAGTGCTGTCTTTAGTGAATGCTCCTGAACTGTTCCAAGGTACTGACAACAAGACGGACATCGTAATTCAGCTCATACGAAAAGAATGGTGTTTCTGCTAAAATGCCGGACTTATTATTTTTTTCATATTTCGTGTGCAATACATAAATCACCTCTGTRTAAGAGTATAGACAAGTTTCTTCGACTCATATTATCTGAGATAACACAGGTTGTTTCGTATAATAAATATCATCCTATTCGAAGAAGGCTCTACATCTACTATACCCATTTTATTAATCTGCAGAAGTTGGTTAATACATAACTCTCTCATTAAGAACATTTTTCGTCCAATTCACACCATATCTTTTCATGGTTTCACTTATATAGGAATTTAGCTTTGACGTCAAAGGAATTATTCTTTTTGTTTGTTTAGTATAACTTGGTAAAGGAGCATGCGATTCTCTGAGTGCTTAAGCAATCTGAATTCTGCAAATTGTCGTCTACAAGGAATTCATATTTAGTCAGTTATACTTGCAGACATGTGTGATCCCAAAGGAAGCCGATATTTGACTAGTGCTATAAGACAGCTAAGGATAAAACGACACACAAACCAATGCTATTCTCGTTTAAACTTAAGATAGATTTTTAATAGATTTTAAATAACTGACTTTGATATTCAAAATTTGTCCTAGACAGTRATTGCTCATTTTGCTGCCTTTGTTTGAGGATGATCATAAACTCAATACCATGATATATCGCTGTATCCAAGTGTCTTTAAGGAATATATCCCACAAGTCATCGTTTTATACCAATTTGTTCTAAGTCTTATAAATCACCTTACCTTATTTATTGACTTATTGAGTGAAATAGAAGTGAGTGGTCTTCTGTTAGCTSGACTAGAAGGTGACGTAGGAGAGCGTAAAGACGAGTTTGCCTCTAGTGCGTTTTGTAGATCTTGTATGTAGTCAATCACGTACTGTAAGATCTCCACTTTGCTAACTCTTCTTTCCAGGGGAATAAATGGTACCATATTCTTTAGGCGCTCATAGTAAGCATTCATATTGTGAGAGCAACCTTCTTCAAGATCTCCAAGAAGTCTACGACGAGTTATACTAGATGCTGATCGGAGAGTAGCTCTGAGGGACTCTTCTAGTTTCGAGTTGGACCGGTTGGATTGTGGTTTCATTGTGTACTCAATGGAGAAAAGGATTTGAAGATCTTGTGGTGTATCAGATGCTGTGTACAGAGTAAAGGTATGTGGCGGACGGAGAGGTTCACTCTGCTATTTATCCACTGTTGCTGTTTAGTAAAATTCTTGATGCAGCTGTGTAAACTTGGTGACAAACCTTGACCAATCATGCACGATCAAAGCAACGTCTGGCAAACAACTTTGAAAAGTCACACGGCCGTTTGTACAGTGTCAATGACAGCACAGGATGGACCAATGAACGAGGGGTTTGTATCTACTTCTGTCAAACAGGGCCATTCGCGGCAAGGGCAGACAGATTTACTAGCATCCGCTGCGAGAGCTTAATTAAACACCAACGTTTTCCTATGAGCTTGACTCATTTTTGTTAAAGATTTAATAGCTGATAGATACGTGTAAACACCTTACGGCTGTTTTGTTGGACTTGAAAAAAGAGCATTGAAGTAACGTCATCTGCAGGGTTTTGATGTTAGGAGCGATAATTCGCTTTCAAATACTAGTGACAACAGGTCAATTACGCGCCAAAACCTGACCAGTCATCAGCCCCTCAGAGCTGTCTTTGGCGCCAAAACTGAAGTCGCCAACGTGACAACTGGACCGACTGGACAACAGTTGTCTTCGACTCCTTCAGTAAAATTTAAACCGTCTTGTCTTGTTCCTTTAAAATGGAATTTGTGTCTAAAGTGCCGGGAAGTTGGTGTCTATGATCTGTATGTTCAACAGATGTAAAGTTTCTGTGTAGTGTATTTCGGTGTTGGACTGTTAGTATCGGTCTAGGGAAGGAAATGTTATCGCACGTCGCCTCTTAGATCATTAGAAGATGCACTGAAATAACTCGCCAACCTGATGGTTGGTCACAATGCAGGCAGGACATTAGTTAATGAACCTATTTCATGGAAAATGCGCTTGGAATGTCGATCCCTGTCTGTGAGTCTTAGCATGTTGTCAGGCCAAGCGACACTCTAGGAATTCAACCTAAAAGTGATTGGTTTTAAATTCATTTCTCAAAAGACACCAAACAAGCACTTTTCTCGAAAACTCTTCATATTAATTAAGAGTTTTCTGTTTCCTAACAAAGGTTTTTGCCTCATACAAGCATCCAAAAGGGTTGAAATTCGTCTAAGAAGGGGTRTGTTATGTTTCTTTTCACTGAGCAACGCCATCTGCTAAGTTAAAGGCACAAAGTCGGCCAACGGAAGCTTAGCAGGTCATCAAGAGGGCCTTAAGCATTTGCTCGCTCAGTGATAATAAGATCAAGATATATCCACAGAACTCCTCGAATCTAGTTTTAAGTCGTCCCGCCTCAAGCATCCATTTGCCCAATCCATGGACAGAATGTTTTCATTAGAAGAATAATCCTATAAAGACTTTGAAAGCACCCATAGCTTGGAGTAAACTTGCACAGGAATCAAGCAGTAGGATTTCTCTTTTCCAGATGCAAGAGACAAAGCGCAAAAGGAAATAGTTTTTAATACAACAAACAGGGCTCTTTTACTATAACACTTTTTTCTAGGTTCTCTCATGAAATGATTTTTAGAAAAAGTCTTTCATTGATACTTGTACAAATTTTAGGGCAATTTGGTCTTTAGTTAGCTCTTTCTTGTTCATGTTGTATTCAACAGATTTGCGTCGATGGAAACATGTTTGGATTCATGCTGTTCGCAGCTGACTGAACTCCAGATCAGGGGCGGGGTTTGATTGATAAAAGATGCATGTTTTAGGTTTGTTAGTAATTATCTCGATGAACCCGCGACTCAGCCAAACCAAAAAGACACCGACACAGCCCAGCCTTGCAGCTGCACCGTCCTCACGCATTTGTAAAACACATCTACAAACCAAAATAATCGTTCCTCATACTTAAATACACTCCAGACACGATAAGTGAAGTAAAATCTGTTAGTCAGGTTAAAGGGATTTTAATATGAGTAATGCGTGTTGTATATGGTAGGGAGAGATTCCAAAGACTTGTACAGGCAGGGACGTGTTTCTGCCACCACTGTTCTTTGTAAAGGAATGGCTATTTTGAAATCCAGACGGGTCTTACTAGCACGCTCCATCGTCACGCCCCCACAATTAATCTTGTCAAGAGGCTGGTTGAGGGGATTTGGTAAATGTATTGCATAGCGTGACTGCGTTACGAAGCAACAGGAGCGTGAAATAAATAAAAGTAAAAAAACTACAAGATTGCAGCTTAAATAATCGGAAAACTATCAAAAAGGATTGTTATTTCTGAAAGTATTTAGTATGTTTGATGTATTAAAAAGTGTAGCATAAAAGTCTACGCATTGGAGTTGATGTATCCCTCCCTCCCTCCCTTGGGGAGGACAGATCGACTGAAGTTTAGGATCGCCGTTGACAGAAATCTTTCATCAAATAAAGTCAAGGCTCACACACATCGTCTTATATAGTAGYTGAATTGGTTGCAGAAATAGTCGCCCGATAGTTAAAACCAGATTTCAGTGCATGACCAGGACGTCTGTTTGTGCGAAATAAGGTAGTCAGTAAGTGAAGGAATTCCAACAACATAGACAAGGTTGTATGGAGAGTTTGACAGAACTGATAACAGGAAACGTGTGGCAGCCTTCGAGTCTAGTGTTTGTATTTCTCGATTCCTGTTTACATAGCAGGATTTCCTATCTCAGTAATATTCATGGCATGGATTCTTTACTTTTAAAATATTTGTGTCGATCAAATGAATAACCTTTCAATGGACTGTAGATAACCCGTACACTAATGGTGATACAACATGGTTTACACTCAATGTGGAGGAAGAGGGAGAGGTCGAAATATACTGGCAGAGAAAGGATGGCTCAAGCTAATGAGGGGCGGGTCAGTTTAAAAACCTTAGTTTTATCGAAACCTAAAACAACCTTGCTCTGGGCTGACCTAGGGTTTTGCAGAGGGAGAAAAATAAACCTCGAACAWGGAAGAGACCCGACCAACAAACTGTAATGCTGACTCACAGAAGACGAATAATAATAATGGTGGGATGTTTTGGGGGAATCGTTTAAAAAACAATGACGATAATGATGAAATAAAATAWAACAACATCAACTATATTCAAAGTCTTGTGTGAATGTATGATTATAGATTTTGGACCTGAAATTTAGGGAATAGTTCACTCATTTCCATGCGGTAATGATGGGTTGTTTGGGCTAGGACGCGGCAGTAGTCACGTAATAGAATTCATGATTGGAGCCTTAATTTGCCCAATCACTGATTGACCCCTCATTGCATGTGAAGTAAAGCAGCTTAATAGTAGTACAAAACAATAGGTTTTCAAACTATCATGAGATCGAAATTCTTTTGTTTTGCCCTTCAAATTGAGCTGCTTTGAGGGGTCCTATTAATGGTTTTCACAGMCGCCATGTTGGATGAATTTAACAAATGAATCGTCATTAGTCTCTCTTGTCATATCATCCAACATGGCCGTCGTGTCTCGTTATTCCGCTACCTTGAGAATGGTTGAAAACCAGCAATAGGAAATTAAATACGAATTTGATTTTCTCCTAGATAGTCGCCCCCTTTGAACCGAATGCCCTTCTAGTTTCATTAATACACCGTATATGTAAAGCAAACTGCCTACACACTAGCTAAACCGCTCTGGAAGGCAGGCAGGATGAGTACCTCAGTCATCAACACTTCTCTATGATTTGATTGCATAATTGAAATCAAGAGTTGTACAACAAGTCTCATTCAGCTCAAGCATGCAAAGGTTACTTTTAAATTASCAGTAACCTTGGCCTATAGCAGCATACTGTTTCAAACGAGARTTAATAATCTTCTAAAATGGCTTGTGGTACTTGTGTAACACTGGCGCTGAAGTCAGGGGGGAGATGTGRTGCTAATTTTGTCGAAGTAGAGGACTGTGAGAGAGAGGGGATTCGATATCGTACTTCTTAGCTGTAGTGTCTGTTCAAAATCTTTTCTGCAAGTCAATAGACAAGAATACATATCCTTTATTATGTTTTCACATGCCGAATCAATTGTTACCCGGCCCATTTCAAAGTTAGAGGTCATAGCAGGAATGCGAGCATCATCGTGAATACGAACGAACAAGCTTCTAGCTGATATTGACCATAAATGCTTCTAATTTAAGCATRCATGTTTTTCCTCATTTACTCAAACACATTCTCTAAATAGTGATAATATCTATAAATTCGAGTGTTTCCCTAATCTGTGAAGTAAAGTATACCTTTACTTGTTAAATCTCTTCTTTAACGAAGCTGCTGGCGACGCAGATTTCTATTCTCAAAACATTCGTAGGACAYATGGTTGATCATCGAGGCGGGGCCGACACAAATCCCACCAGCTAAATGAAAGTTACAAARCAGAAAACAGTCATTTAGTCATCCCATCGAACAAATCCTGAACAGACTTCCTAGACATTTGACAGAGCCATGGAATTAGAATCGTCATAAAACTTGCCAGGAGCGTAGAGCTGGTTGTTTCATTTCCTAATCAGATAGCCTCTTGCCCTCATTAGAACGGCTAATAAGTATAACACTGGTTAAAATCATTTGTCGACATTCACCATCAGCTCTTCATCCACAGTTTAAGAAGTATGGCGACTTCGTTCTTAGGTACTATGCAAGCCGGGGACGAAATTTAACGAAATGGGTTTAAAATTGAAGTTCTTGAAAGGTAATGAACAGAAAAAGAGTTTGTGGATGAATTTCGTACTGTTTTTTAATACCTTCGCTCGGGTCGTGATGAAACCCCGGGTCTGGATTTCGTCCTAGCTAGTAGGACTTTACTCCAAAATTTCTAGCCGGATTATATGATGCTTTGAAAGCTAAGTTAGGCGGTGAAATTGAATTAGAAAATACTGCCTCAGGCTTCAAAGACTGAGAAAAAAACTCTTTTATCTGGCCCGTTATGAATTCCGTTACTTTAAGTGTATTTCTATAGTTCAAAGACATCGCCATGCAAGACGTTGAACAGAACATCCMGAATTTTCCCGGAGGATGTTTGCAAGGAACGTATCTTTCAAGACCGGGAGCTTGTTTATAGATTCCTAGTATTAACGCTCACAAGTTTTTGATTAAGAAAGAATAGCTCTATAATCAGAAACCATGTCAAAAGATTGCCTTGATAAGGTTCATATTTGAGCTTCTCGAAGACACTTAGTGATTGCAAACGTTAACGATAGAATAACCAAGATGTTAAAGACACGTACATGAAAAAAAAAAGCTTACACACTAATAGAAAACAAATGGAAAACTGTTTTAATTTTCAAAGATTTGTTTCAAATGCTTTCAAATTGTTAAATTTTTCCGATCACGACGCATGCGTAGTGAATACTACTGTTCGGCGTCGACGACTGACAGACGAAAGCAAGTATTCTTATTCACTGGCCGCCCTTTTTCGACAAACAAAATGCAGAATTCCCCCTCGTAAAAAGTCAGGAAAACTACTTGTTTTGTTACATCGACATATATACTTTATTTTAACATTATACAACATACAAAATCTTTTAAAATATAATAGATTTGGATATTTCGGGCTCTACAACTGACGACCACAATTTGAAAGATGAGGAGCTAAAAATTACATTTTGCAAGCTATGTAATCAATTTAATGATGTTATAAACTTTTTATATCTTACATTTAAAATACTATCTAAYTCATAATAAGCCCCAGAATCGTCGATTTTGAGAGAATCTTCGCTAAAACTCACTGCAATTAATTTAATCCAGCTTAATCATATTCATTGACAGGATACAAGACAAAGCATAACTCTTYAATGGCTTCCATTGCTCTGATCCAATCATAAAGCATAAAAATACGAACCATCCAATCACGTTCGAGTAGGGAAGCCATTTGGGAATCATGATAATTAGATAAAAATTTATTGCAAGAATTAGATTTCTGTATCTTTATAACTACTTCAGCTAGTCCAGAAATAGCTCCCATTGAACTATTCATCTATTTATGTTATTTAGATTAAACTTTAAAAGGTCGGGCTGTTAGACTTGGTTGGGTTAAATACGTAAGGATCGAAGGACAACGCTGTGTGCTCTGTAATTGAATCTGTGGATTTAATAACGAGAGATTATGGATTAACGTCCAAGYATAATGTAATGAGGAAAAGTGGAGGAAAGAAACAGAACAGATACGATTCTATGGTTGTACATATTAGGWTGGAGATAATCTGGGATCAATAAGTCCAAATTCTAGACATCTGGCAACCTCCCTTTTTAACTGTTATTTCAAAACATACTGTCTTACTGAATAATGAAAACTTCATAGTGAATAGAGCATTACTTTGTTGAAATCCTGGACAAAATTTAAGTAAAGAAAAGTATTCTGTTTTTATTTATACCAAGAGAAGTATTGACTACAATAGGTAAAACATGATCGTTTAGCCTGGTTATGGCTTCTAAAAGACTCTCGTTATGATTTACAGCGAAGACGCGAGGTGCAATTATAGTTGCCATGAGGATAAGATCTTTCCAGTTAATAATAAAACTGTTATCAATAGCTGAATATTCGCAGAATGATGTAGAGTGAACGTATTTAGAGAAGTATTCTCGAATTTATAACTGCAATAAAAAGACTTAATGCGTCATAAACGATATCAATGGATGCAACCAAACTGAACAAGTAAAAAGAAAAGACMAACAACATACACACCTAATACCCATCGCTCCGAAACATTGATTGTCTTGGTTTTTCTACTGATGGTTCCAACAACAACGCCAGCTTTTCTGATTGATGTACAGATCTTAAGCAAGAAAACGAAAAAAGATCTGGAGTGTTATAGGATATATAAATAGTTAGGTAGATAGGTAGGTGYTATGGTACAAAATTAAGGAGCAAATATGGCAATGACGAGTGGTCTTAAATGGGAGAACATTATAACCATCTAAAGAGGCCTATTAGCCGTCCCGAGGTTGAGGGAAAAACGTGGCGAGTTCGCATTGCGGTGCATTGTTAGGCTGCTTTACTTGAGTGAAACCTAAATATATCCTAATTTAGGGTATATTTAGGTTTCACTCAGCTGATAAAAGTCTTTGAATCTCATTATCTGGTCCAACACTGATCACCATGTGCTGTCAACCTCAATGAATGCCACTTAAAACTTGCGATTCAGCTGATGAACATTCCGCACGAGGCAGGAAATGAARTGAAGTGAAAGCCAGCAATACCATAACCACAATGTACTGTAATGCAAACTCGACCTAGTTTTTTATTAACATCAGTTGCTCACCTTGCCGCCACAAAGGGTGATAAGCTGAATGAGTGTTTCACGTGGTGGTGACGTATTATCAGACACAAAAATAGGATCAACTTCAGCGAAGAGTTCTTGGTGATAATCAGGTCCGGAGCTCACTCGCTCTAGTCGACTTAACTGAAATTTGAACAAGATAAGGAAATAAATGACACCAGAATCAAAAGTCATTAGGTAAGAAAAAGGATCACGATAAAATACATATATATATATAAAGACAATCTTTATCCCTTTCCTCCCATTTCTCATGCTTTCATTTTTTCCCGTTTTTTCACCTGAGCGGAAGGAAAGGCATCAGCTAGCTCGTACGGTTCTTCGTCCACCCAGTAACCTGTCTCCAGAGACTTCATAACCTGCGTTAAATGACATCGAAAATATATCATCTTCATACCATCATCAAAACCTCTTCATGAAACTCAACGAAAATATTACAAAACCCAACATTATAATTATGTAGCATGAACGATACATTATTGCATAAAAGTACAATTTTAATGTAGTTTTGACAGCTACTCGCTATTTACCCCCCCCCCCCCCCCTATAAACCCCAAAATAAAAATTCACATTCTTTTTTCCCCCCCCCCCCCAAGTCAGTTTTATGAGCATGCGCAGTATGTATCTAGCATGGGAACCCCTAACGAAAGGTTCCTTTGGTTTTGCGCAGTTCTGCCGTCAGTGGGATGTGGTTTTTACTCACCCATTCAGGTGACACYAGCCAGTTGCCTTGTGCGATGGCCATTAGAACGTTCAATGTTCGTCTAGGGCTACCGCTGATTACATGCGTAGTACTGGGACCGACCGTATCCGCGATGTAGAAGCCACCCAGCTTACGGACCACTGAGATTACTATGTCTTGTTCACTATACCACGATCAGTAGTGAAAGAAACAGTATCAAAAATATGAGTCAAATGAAAATTGAAAACAAAATTGAAAGACTTACATAGACCTAATTTGCGATCCTAAGAGAAAGTGAATTTGAAAATCAAAGGTGGAAAGAATGCAATATTAAAGACTAAATTGAATTAAACCAAAACAAACAAACAAACAAAAAAAAACAAAAAAAAAAAAAACGACAACGACGTCATACCTGAAGTGCATGCTGGTAAGGACCAAGGACCGTGGGGGCTGGGAACAAAAAATGATAAATAATAGATTGATGACTGATAAGTTCATACTAAATCAAATTAAACGGCGCATAGTTTGAAATAACGCCGTCCACTCTCCCTATCATTCTTACTACGCATGCTCGACGTAACCTCGTCGTGCATGCGCACTAAGAATGACAGTGCTCTGGGGTCGAGAGAGAACGCTGTCAAATATCGCTACAGTACCCTTGTGTTTTTTATTCGAGAATAGTGAATAGATAAATGAATCCATTCAGGAGTTTAGAAGTGATTACCAAAATAATAGTGATTTATAAATTTACCTTTTTTCTGACTACTTTTTTTTCTTTCGTTTTCTGCTTTCCGTTATTTTGCTTCTCGTTCGATTTATGTGACACGTCTTCTTCGCTATAATCACCATCGTGGATATCACTTTTATCGCCATCATCCTCAGTACTGCGGTCATCATTGCCATCATCATCATCATCATCATCATCAGTGTCATCAAAGATCTTTTTAAGAACAGGTTTAGTTTTCCGTGAGATGTCCTTTTTTCTACAGTCGTCATCATCATCATAATCACCATCTTCATGATTGTTATCAACAATATCATTTTCATCTTCATCATCAGTGTCCAGAATAGTTTTACGAACAGACCTCTTTCTCCTTAAGATATTCTTTCTTTTTCCATTGTCATCATCATCGTCATCACCATCATCATTATTATCAATGACATCATCTTCATCATCAGTGTTAGGAATGGTTTTACGAACAGGCTTCTTTCTGCTAAAGTTACACTTTCCTTTGCCGTTGCCAGTATAGTCATCGTCATTACCACCAYCATCATCATCAATGACATCATCTTCATCATCACTAACTTTTGATATATTTTTACGATACATCTTCTTCCTCCGCGAGTCATTCTTGTCTAGTTTAGCTTTCATTTTCTTCGCATCGTTTTTCTTCCCGTCGTCATCTTCTGCTGTGTTGCATATATCACCAGGTAATTTCTTGTCTTCATCCCTCGTTAGCTCCATTGTCTTCTTTTCATTTTTCTTTTTAGATACAGATTGTTTGCCTCGTTTAGTGTCACTCGTTTTCTTAGCTATAGATTCGGTCTTTTTTTTCGATTTMAGTGGTTCAGTTTTCTTACCAACGTCCTCAAGTTCGTTCTCATCTTCTGTACTCACGACTTCACCGACTRTTTTTTCTGTCTTCTCGGATGTTCTCTTGTTTTTCTTTAATACTTTGGTCTTCTTCTCCTGCATTTCCACCTCACTGAACGAAACCCCCGAATCAGACAAGCCCGTAGCACAAACTAAATTATCCAGATCCCGTTCTACGTCCCGCGATCCTGAACCTTTTCCCGAAGTGCTTTTGAGTTGTGCGTCTTCTTGCTTTGAGCTCGAGATTCTTTTTCCTTTGGTCTTCTTCGCAAGGCTGTTTGCTATTAAAAAACAAAAAATATGTTAACTATGATAACTGGTTTTCATAGCCGCCATGTTGGTTGACTCGAACAAAAGATTTGCCCTTGGTTTCTTTTGTTATATCAACCAAAATGGCGGCCACGTTTTTCTCGTTTTTTTCCATACCCTTGGGAATGATTTAAGACTATCTACATATAAAACTTAAAATGACAGATTAAGGTCGACAAAATGTGTGGCTGGCTTACGCTGTTTGTACACCGGTCCTTGGTAAGACCGGACCCGACATAATGTGTGGCTGGCTTACGCTGTTTGTACACCGGTCCTTGGTAAGACCGGACCCGGTGTTCGATACTCACTTCGTACAGGTATTTATACAATTTTTTTCTTGGCAAGTTTTAAAATGGCATGGGCTTTCAATTTCCTTTTTATACGTTYATGAACCCAAAATTCCCTTTTTAAGGTATACTTATACTTACTTTTTTGCATTGCTCTCTTATCCCATATTATAATTGCGGGTCAAATGACGCATTACGCTTTAATTATAAATCATAAGTTTATTGAATTTCATTCATTTGTAGATACTATTTATATGACGTTGTAAGATAAAATCTTCAGCAAAGAATTATTGGAAGAAGAGAATTGAATAGAATCTCTGGTATGCTAAAGCTACGGACACACGGTGCAGCATAGCGCGCAATGTTGCATGCAATCGATGTTGCGCATGTCACGCGACACAATTTGTTGCACGCAATGTTGCTGAAGTAGAAAACGATCCTTCTTGCAATCCTGCCTGCAATATTGCGTGTATTGTTGCACCGTGAGTCCGCGCATTAATTCATACTATTCATGTAAACAATAGACCACAAAAATTATTGCATAGCTATCAGCTCTTCTCTCAAGCAGATGAAGGCACTTTTTAGCTGAACGTTACGGGCAGCGGCGTTGGTAGCCAAGTTCCATGACAACTTGACGTAAACCTCGCCATGCACACGAATTTCAGCTAAACTTTTCAACGTGCAAAAAAACCCTTTAGAGACAGAAAAAGATTCAAACATCTTTTTRTTCACCCAGAAGAAAGTCTTACATTGTTTCTATTCTCTTTCTCGTCATAGGAAGAGTGGGTCTCGGTAAAAATATGACTTGGATTTAGAAAATCCATACCAGTCTGTGGTATGAAGCTGAATCTACGCCTTAACCTACCTSGCAAGTTATTTTCTAGTTCATCCTCACGTGCAGCACACGAAGACTCCTCCTCAATCATAGTCTCTACRCCACTTGTAGACTTTGATCTTGGTTTACGAGTCCTTTTGAGTTTACTCGTTTTAACATCGGGAACTTCTTCCTCATCAAATGTAAAAACGTCTGTATTCTCGTGTGGGGTTTTGGCTGGTTTGCTTTTCTTGTTTTGATGAGGTTTTTCATCAGGTTCCTTTGGGGTGCTGTCTTTACTAGACAGTAATCGTTTTCGCTTCTTTCCTGGTCCAGAAGCTGTATAAATATTCAAGGGAAAATAGTGCAAATCAAGGGTGGTTTATCGGTAATGCCCTCACCACTAGGGTCTCAGGTTTGATTCTTGGACTCTGCATCACATGTGAGTAGATTTTGTTAGGACTCTCCCTTGATTTGATTTTTCAATTGGTTCTCTGGATTTCCTCCGTCCGCAAAACCTAACACGGTAGATTCCAACTCGATCTGTGAGTTAGCTGTGCCCTGACTTAGATCAGCCCAGAGGTAGTTTTAGAGTTCAATCTGTGAGTTAGCCATGCTCTGACTTAGATCAGCCCAGAGGTTGTTTCAGGGTTTGACCTGTGAGTTAGCTGTGCCCTGACTTAGATCAGCCCAGAGGTTGTTTCAGGGTTCAATCTGTGAGTTAGCCGTGCCCTGACTTAGATCAGCCCAGAGGTTATTTTAGGGTTTGACCTGTGAGTTAGCTGTGCCCTGACTTAGATCAGCCCAGAGGTTGTTTCAGGGTTCAATCTGTGAGTTAGCTGTGCCCTGACTTAGATCAGCCCAGAGGTTATTTTAGGGTTCGATCTGTGAGTTAGCCGTGCCCTGACTTAGACAAGCTCAGAGGTTGTTTCAGGGTTTGATCTGTTAGTTAACCGTGCCCTGACTTAGACAAGCTCAGAGGTTGTTTCAG